CATTACTCTAATAACTTTCGTTCAATTTATTGTCCACAACAGTAATATTCACCAAGAAATGCACTGTCAATTTGAGTAAGTCAAACAGGGATATCCTTTGACGGCTCAGCGTTGAAAATGTTTTTCTTGGTAAATATTCACTGCTGAAGACAATTAATTAAAAGTAAATTGATAAGCCAATACCCGTGTGGGAGGGCCATCTAATGATCAAAGGTAATCCTTGAGAATTCTGGTCCCTTCCCAGGCTCTACAGTAGAGGCATTCCCAGAGGCAGGGAAACACTCACTCTCTGCAGGTGATGGAATAGTGGTCTCCTACCAGCAGGGAGCCCTCCTCCTCCTGGCAGCTGTTTCCCTGCCTCTCCCTGTGGGGCAAGTCCCCCATCGGCAGCTTCTCAGCCTTTGGAGAATGTCAGTTGCTGGTGGTGGGGAAACTAATAAATCCACATTCTAGCTCTCATTCTTTCCGTGGTTATTTATTAGGCACCTCCTAAGTGCCAAGCTCTGTGCTGCACCCCTGGAATAGGGAAGTGAACACAGAATACACAGCCTCAAGGAGCTTACAGCCTGGTGGGAGAGATCATCAGTGAATGTGGAGATGCACAGAGTGCTGGGAGAACCTGCAATGAAGGAATGCAAACTAGGCTGTGGCATTAGGAAACTGGGCATCTATGCGGAGAAAACATTTAATGTAAGAACTGGTTTTCAAACTTGGCTAAACACTGAAATCACTTGGAGAGCTTTAAAAAATACTTTCTCCCTTGGGTTTTCCCTCCAGAGTTTCTGACTAAGCTGGAAGGAGGTAGAGTCTGGGCGTCAGGACTTTGAAAGCTCCCTAGGCAATCCTAATGTGTGGCAAAGTTAAGAACACAAGTCTAAGGATTTGAAGGAGTCCAGGGAAGACCGGCCTTGGGGAAAGAGCAGCTCGTGCAAAGACCCTGAGTCTCAAGGAGCTCAGTCCATTCTGAAAACAAAGTGTCTGGAGCAGAAGGAGGAGGCTGGGAGGGGAAGGCGAGGAAGCCGAAGATGAATATGGCGAAGAAGGCAGAGGCTTGATCACACACGGCCCTGGTGAGTCAAGTTGCAGGTTTCACACTTTTAGTAAGAGCAATGGGAAGCCACTGTATAGCTTTAGACAAAGAAGTGGTGTTTATAAAAGTCATCTCTGCTGGGCAGAGGATGTACTAGAGGTGACAGGACTTTAACCTAAGACTCTCTCTACATTCAAGTAACTCAGAGCTTTAGACGGAGCTCGATGATAAAACAGGAACAGGGTCATGGTCGCGCCAAGCAAAGCAGAAAGGAGTCAGGTTCTCCCGGCTGGTCCTGGACAGCGGCAACAGTCCTATTTTCTTTTAGATGAGCCACTCCGAAGCCAGCTCCTTGCCCTTACAGTGACCTCCCGGCTTCCCTCCCCCAGATCCAAATCTGCCTCCACCCATCCCATGCCCTCAGCCCCTCCAGCAGCAAGCCCACCCTGTGCTGCATGAGCAGACAGGAACACACAGGAGAAAGAGCTCCGGGGAAGAGTGCTCTGCTCACAGATGGTGACCCCCTGCAGTGCCCCGGGAATGGGAAAGGAAAGCCAAGCGCCTTCTTGGTTGAAGGGTGTGCCCTGGGGGCGGGGAGAGGAGCCGCTCCCACTGCCCACCACCCACGGCTGTGACACCGGCTGCAGAGCCTCCCCACCACGGGTGAGCCTTCTCTGCACTCCAGGTGTGAGCAAACCTGCCGAGGGCAGCGGCGCTGTGTGAGGGAGCCACTCCTTCCTCCCACGGTAAGGGACACATTAGGAGCAGAGTTATACTACTTTCCTTTCCTCCCCAGACTTGCTATGCAACCCTAGCACAAAGCTTTCTTGTCCCATGTATTTCACCCACAAAATGAGTATTTTAATACCCTGGGAACAAAGTAGAGGACTCCCATCATTGAATCACTTCATTCAAAGCAATCAAAACAGAAATGTACATGTGGAGATAACAACCCCTGATTACTTGCTAGTCTAAAGGGTGAATGTGGCTTTACAGGCTAGAGATCTGTATATCACAACCCAGTGATTTATCTTGGCATCACTGCTGGTGGGATGACCTGACACCATGGGGCTTCTGAAAAAAAAAATAAAACCTACAAAATCCTTTTCAAAAATTAAAATAGAAATCTAACATAGCACTTTGATATCCCCTATGAGAGACAGACTCTACAGGCACATATCCCACTCAACACTGCCAACTCCTCTGTGGAATTATCTCCATGTTTTTGGAAGAGGAAACTGAGGTTCTGAGAGGACACCGTAACTTGCCAGAGGACACAGGAGCACCTGGGCTGTGACTTGAGCCCATTCTGGTATGATCTAGAACACCCTTTCCCGAACAGTGTGCCCACTGCTACCCAAGTTGCTGGTACTGCCTCAGTTTGAGAAAATTCTGGATCTCCACCGACTCATCATATCCCAGCAGGCCTGAAACCTCCACAGCAGTAAGACAAGGAAGGTTTTGTCCTCTGAATACCAGGTGTGTAACCTAGGCTAGTTCCTTATGCTCTCCATGCCTAGGTCTCCTCACCCCTAAGATAGGGATGAGATTAATATCTGCCTCATAGAGTCGTGTGAGGATTGAATAAAATGATTATAAAAGACACTGAGTATAAAGTCTGCCATGAAGCTAGTGCTCCATAAACATTGATGATGAATATTATTGTTATTATTGCAACATGTTTGCCCACTTCCCCTCCCATCTTTTCACCCCAGTTGTGCAGCACCTTTAGCTTTCAAACTGGAACATGACACCAAATTTGGAGGAAAGACTATAAACAACGTTCAGTCATCTGTGCTTGACTGTAATTTGTCTGATGGAGGTGGGGTAGGGGGTAGTGAAGAGAGACAGCTTTGCCCATAACCACTAGATGGTGCTAATAATATATGACAACCCACCCACAATGCTTTTCATATAAATTTCGCAATAAAAAAAAAATGCTTGAGAGCTGGCAGGCGCCAGGGTGTTATTTTCTAAATGTCGCCTATTATTGTACTTTAGCACAAGGGCTCTACAGTGCTCTTTACATCAGGTCATGCACTACCCCCAAGAAAAAAGCAGAGATTGTATTCCAAATGCTCTATTTCAGACAGAAAACAACTTACATAGTTGTCTTTTGATATTGTAATTAGGGTCACGCAGTCAATGTAAGAAATCTACATTTTTTGCCCAATGTACAGTGTAATGACTTATTGCTTTAAAAGAGTGGCTTGACACAGAGATTAGTGAGAGAATGTTAGAAGTTCCACAGTTAGCTGTTTCCTTGATTAAGAAAAGTCACATGGTCTCCTGAAATCTCCTCACAGGCTGTAATTTAACAATCATTATGGTAAATTTTCCCTGCCCAATTATAAAAGCAAATTCCTGCCTTTTCTTAGCTTCCCCATATCAACAATACCCAGTTTCACCCCCAGATGGAAGCCCTGAGCACAGTTTCAGGCTTGTTGCCCTGAAGGGGTCATTCAGGGATTCCTGTTGGTTCCCACATTGCCTTCGCGATGAAATGCTCCTGCCGCTGCCTCCTGGGAACCACAGGTGGGAAGGGTTTGGACATTCTCTGTCCCAGTCAACAGAGGACTCAGCTTCTCTGAGCTGCATGCTTGTCCTTCCAAATGGAAAAGTTCTCTCTTCACAGCCATTATCAGCAGATTGCACACAAGGTGTTGAGATACCTCTCACTCACACTTATTCCAAATGATGAGGCAAGGAGCTATTTGCCAAAGGTAAAATGTCATGTTATTTTCTGTTCTCACAGCCAGAAATAATATCAAAGGGAGCCTGTTTTTAATTTCTTGTTTTAATTTCCATTTGGGCATGCTGAAGAACTCTTGAAAGCTGTATCATTCGGGATTCTGGACCCAAAGGAGAAGGCCTTGTCTGGGCATGATTCTGGAAGCTTCCATGATTTGAATGCCTCCCATATTTCATCTTCTAGCTTATAGCCCATTTACCATGCATTTTTTCACGCTGATCTCCAATGCTGTTGGAAGACAGCAAAGGCATTTGTTATTGCTCCCTGTTAATGTACAGGATCTGATTTTCCAGACTGGAAGTTAGCTAGTGGTACAGGTGGGACTCAAACCCAAGGGTTCACACGCCATTGCTTTGGTTTCACTGTTACACATCACGTGTTGCTTCCTCATCCCTCCTGCTCACCTGATGTTCATTATCAACTGCCTTCAGCACTTCATGGGTCTATGTGGCCTCTGTCCAACTAAATTTTAAATTCGAAGACAGTGATATGTCTAATAAACATACTAGTTCCACATAGTCTTAAACATGCAATAAATAATTATTGGCTAGGTCTTTGCTGTGTGAAGAACAAGAGTAATAAAGGTATTTTATTTATATACCCATAAATCGAAATAAAACTGAATGCTTAGATTCTTGTCTTGTATAAGGGAAACATGCAACAGGACTGAAAATGGTACAATATTTTCATATTCACATTAAATGGAAAAAGTATGTCAATTCAGGGCAGACTCATTTCCTATTCTATATCCACTGGGTTTGGGTTATAATTTTGATGACGGCAAAGAGACTGGGGTGTTTTTCTGTTTTCCTTTGCTAAATGACATGATTTGGGTACAAGTAAAATTGTGTTTCTGTGGGTTCGCCTCCATATTTATTCTCTGCCTGACTCCCATTTTCCAATGTTTCATAGTCTGGAAAGGAAGTGTGGTCTAGTGGTCAGAAAAACAGTTTAGGAGACTAGAGTCGTGGTTTCTATTCCTGTCTTGCTCCCTGACTCATGGTAAGATCTTAGGATACTCACTTAAGTATTATAAGCCTCAGTTTATTCATTTTTATCCTACCTAGAGAAGTTGCTCAGATATAATCAGATCTAATAAATAATCAGAAAACAGAACTACGTTTGGCTCTATAAAGAAAACGCCACCTGACTACAAGGCTTCATGGAATGGATGCCTAATAATGGTTACAGAAGAAAAATAAGAATCTCTAATTTTACCAACTGGAAGGAGTTATTAAAGACTCTTCCCGTAAGTGCAGATTCAGCTGGCTATGGGTATCCACTGAAGCAGTATCTAGAAAACAATTAATGATGGGAAGGAAATCAAAGAACCAAGATTCTAGGGGAGAGGGGTGTCAGGAATTTGGGTGTCTTGCCCCTAGCTTCCAGAAAGAAAAAGTAACTGAGCAGAAGCACTCATATTTTAAGTGGGTGTCACCCTCTTAGGCAGGCTAATAGGCCTTCTTGGGAGTTCCCACCTGGGCAGGCTGCAAATTCAAGATCTGCTTGAGATCCTGGTTTCTTACCATTCTTCATTCTTTCCCTGTTATCCTTTTTTTTAAGAAGAAATCCTACAGGGGATGTGGCCCCCTGTTGAGATAAAAGCAGGAGACTCTGCAAAACAAAACCCAAAGCCACCCCATTATTCACACTGGAGAATCATTTTTATTCCATTCCATGGTCTGCTGGCTGATTGATTGACTTGCATCCTCAGCCAACAACAGCCGCCCAAGAGAACAGAAAAGGTTGCCTTCAGAACCTCACTGCTGGCTCAGTGACTGATGTCATTGCATTAGGAGTTGATGTCACCTTCATAAGACAGAGCCTGATGAATCAATAGTTCTCTATAATTCTGACACTAAAACTAATAATAACAGTTATTATGATAATAAGAATAACAGCTATTTACTAAGTACATACTAATTGCCAGGCACAATGCTCAGCATATTCTATATGTGGCCTCATTTAACTCTCCCCTAAATCTAGTGTTAAGATAAGAACTGGTATTCTCACTTTACAAACTAGGACACTTAGACTTAGAAATAAGTAACTTGCCTGGACGGCCACAGAGTGAGGAAGGAAACCCAAAGTTGTCTGACTTCAAAGGTGTGATCTTGCCCCTGATATGTGCTACCTTCCTCCCCCGGAAACAGGCCCCAGAAGAGTTCACTCTAGAAGGTGTTAGGGGAGAAGCAAAGGGTTTGGCACTCAACACGCTTTGTTTTCCAAGAAGAAAAGAAGCAGAGAGGACTGGTTCCATAGCCTGTGGGGGTTTGCTGGGGGGTTTTCCTGCTGGAAGCCACCAATTGGTCAAGCTGGTCTCCCTGCTTGAAGAGCAGGTGAAAAGGCGGAGGTAGTTCTGTCTGCACACCTGCTGGCTGCACACAGCGCAGTATTCCTGGAAAAACAATGAAGAAAATAATACTTCAGGATCTTAAAGCTTCTCTGGATAAAGATAGGTGAAAAAGAACAGGAAGAGGAAGAGAAGACACCCAGAGCCTTTGACCTGTACAGCAGGTATAGCCCAGCCTCCCAGACCATGAATCAGGGTCTGCTGAGAATGAGCCACAATAACACAGCTGCAGGAAAGAATCGGAGGAACCAGCACATTGAATTGAGGGGGCCAAAACTCAAGAGGAACAAAATTCATCTGGGTGGATGGCACAGTCCAGCTATATGTGGGCTTGACATAGCCAGGAGCGTGTGACTGGAAAAATACCCCAGAGCTGGATGTCCTGGTCAGGAAATGAAAGGGTCAGGGGGCACAGATGTTGTTTTTCCCTTTATTTCCTATTTAGGATTCAGACTTTGAGAGAGGATACAGAAGGTGAGAAGAAAACTTCGATAGTGATCATATAATTTGGTGTCCAAACTAACATACTTTTGAAAAAAGGCGAGGGGGCGGGGAGCTATCAATTATTAATTCCTTCAGGAACAACAGATAAACTAGGACTGTCTCAGGCAAACTGGGGCATATGGTCACTCTAATGGAAATCTGTCAAGACAAGAAGAAAACTTTAGTAGAGAAATCTGGGTAAGCATAAAACACATATACAAACACCTACATCCATATTTGGGTATGTATAATAGAGAGAGAGGAACAAAGAAGGTATTGTCACTGGAGTATGTTGAAGAGATTGGTTAATCCTGACACTGACCATAAGATTGGCACACTGGCAAGTCATGGAAGTAAGGAGAGACTTTGATTACCTAGAAATACTGGAAATGTCCATCGGAAAATCCCAGATAAATGTCTGGATTTAACTTGCCTTGCTTACAATTTCATTTCTCAGAAAGGAAAGGAAGGTGGCCAAAGAACTATTACTTTGGATGTGATTCTCCTTAATAATGAGGAACTTGGAGGAGATACCAGATCCAGTACATGCTCAGATCTGCATCCTCCTGTGAGGATATAAGTAGTTTCCAAGGAAAGAGAAGTAGGATTGCTGAGACTTGAGATGGTTCAAGAGGGGAGAGAAGCCCATGAAAATAAAAATCACATAACATAATCACAAATGATCTCTGCTCGATCAAGGGCACAATACTAAAAAGACTGGTAAAAATAGAGCCAGAGGTGCCAAAGCTAAGACAAGGTGTGGCTGGTGAAATGTCTAAAGCTACGACCGAGACCTTCTTTGGAACAAGACAGAAGACATCCTCGGACATGTCCACCCCTTAGAAAACCCTGTTATGCTGAATGAGTGCAGTAGTTAAGGGTTGATCTATATTATTCCTTTAATGTTCATAGTTTTCAAGCCATGGCAGGTTATGCATTTATTTCCTCTAAAGTTAATTTCCTCTCTCTCTCTCTCTATCTCTCTCTTTGGAAACCACTCCCAAGAGGAATTAAATTTTAGTCAGTAGGATACATTTGAGAAGAGAGGTAAGGCAGGAATATGGTTTGATGTATGGAAGTTCTTCCCATAAAAGCAAAAGGAAAGGAAATAATGTACACAAGAGAAATTGAAGAGAAAATATTCAATTAGAAAACCTCCAGGAATTGTGTTCCAGCTGACCCAGAAGCCCTCATCACATTACTTTCTCAGGCTCTTGGGTCTTGTGTCTTCCTATTGTCTCCCAGTGCCATGCACGTGGTAGTGCTCAGTAAGTATGTGCTCAATAAGTGAGGTTAGGGATGACGATCTAGGATCCACAGCCATCAATAGAGTGCATCAGTGTCTGTAGTATGGTTCTCAAAGAAATTACCACTTCATTTCCAACCCAAGGAAGCTGAGAATAAGAATATACAGCTCTCATTAAGTAAACAATATTTTTTAAAGACCCAAATTACCTGCCTATAAAATGGGGATACAACTGAATCATGTAAATACAAAATAATAAAGTAAAATATAAAATGGGCAAAGCATGCAGAGTTTCTGAGAGTAAATTGGTTGGTTATCTTACTTGGAACGAAACCCAGGTCCTAATGACAGCCCCACGGGACCTCATCTCTCTACCCACATCTCCTTGCACTCCTCATTCTCTCTACTCCAAGCCCACTGAGCTTCACCATTGCTGCTGTTTCCTCCAGCTGGCATGCTGTCCCCCAGTTATCTGCATCACTATCAACTCCCTTCTTTGGGCCTTTCCTCAAATGCCTTGTTTCAATGATACCTTTCCTGGAAACCACATGTATATTTATAATACCATCCCAATAACTGCATCCCCCACCTCAGCCTATTGTACCCCAAACCAGAGCCTGAACAAAGGCTCACACGTGGGGAGTCATTCCAGAATGCTATCCTAGGGAGCAGAAAGGCAGGATAGGGCCAAGGACAAGGAGGGAAAGGCCAGTCTAGATGGCTGTCTCCACCCGATCACTGATTCTTCCAGGCACCTTTGGAGGCATCTTAGGAAACATGTATCACAACTCTACCTCTGGGGGACAAAAATAAGAAACATTGTTGACCCCCTTCTGTACACCTGGGCACTAACTTCCCACACTTTGAAGCTGTTAGTGTCTGAGTTTGGAGCTCGCTCCAGCGGCGTGTCCCAGGCTGGGCTTCAGAGAAGCTCCAGAGCTCTGGGCGGCTCTGGGCGGAATGGAAAGACTTGAGGCCCGTTTCCCTTCCCTACTCTGTGTTTCGCCATTGCTCTTCTAGCATCTGCAATTCTGTCTTACACAAATATTTATTTAGGGTGTTCCTCTCCCAGCTACTGTGTAAGCTCCGCAAGGGCAGGAATTGCATCACGTTTTGCTCACCGCTGCCTTCCAGGACCCAGAAGGCTGTCTCACACAGAGCCAGCACTTAACATTTGATTGGTAACTAAGTGAGCGAGTGAATGAATGAATGAATGAATGAATGAATGAATGAATGAATGCAGGCATTCATTTTTAAATACTACAAAAGACTGCTTCTCAGTGGGATTTTATGAACAGAAACTGATGGTTGATGTTTACTACCACTCATTATTATCATATTATCCTCAAAATTTATCCGGAAATAATTCTTTATTGTTACCATGCCATAATCAAACACTGGTCTTAATTAAACTCAGGGAGACAGTAGAGAAAAGCAATCAAAAGTCCTTCAGAAGAAAATGGAAATATTTATAGCACTTTCATTTCTCTAATTTTCTATCCAGCTTCACCCAACCATATGCCATTTAGAGATGGCCAATGTCAGCCACAAAACCTACTTCCCTTTGCTCAATACTTCCCATTGTTTCCAGCAAATACAGCATTCAGCTTTCATTAGCTCAACTTTCATTTAAAAATATATATTTATATATAAACACTTTTATTTTGTGTATATATAGTCATACAGGTGCAAATTTATTATTTCATTTTTTACTTTACAAATTAATATCTATTGCTTCCCTTTCTTATTGATGCACCAGGTAATATTTTTAAGCTCCTTCCTTCACATGCAACACATTTAAAAGGTAACCTAAAGTATACTCAATTAAATAATCCTAGGGATATCCATCTAATTCAGTACAGACCTTTCTGTGTCAATAGATACTGGTGTCTCCAAGAAAATCTGAATTTGTCAGAGACAAATTATTCTAATTCAAAAAGACTTCTTTATTAAGTAGCATAACCTACTGGTGATTTAAATGACTGTTTATAGACTGGTAACTATTTAGCAGACTTCCCACCAGGTTGCACCAGCCTGCCCTAATCATTCTTTGGAAAGTTTCACTAGATTATCACTTCTCACAATAACACAAAGCCATATTTTATATGACTGGGTTTTCTAGATGCCACTAGTTTTTCTAAGGTAAATACAGTTGATCCTTATTCTAGAATGCTGAACTTGCAAATTCATCTACTAGATAAGATTTATGTGTAACCCCAAAATCAATAAAATGCAAGGCACTTTCACAATCATTCAGACATGTGCAGAACAACAAAAACTCAGTAATCTGATGCACACATTCCCAGTTGAAATCTAACAGGGAGATGCTCTGCCTTCTGGTTTCTGCACTTCCTCCATGACCTTTCCTTCCTTGGAAACAAATGTCCTTCTCGAGGTCTATTTAGTGCCACATTTTCCATGTTTTTATTGGTGATTTCATTGTTAAAGTGGCCCCCAGGCATAGTGCTGAAGGCTGGTCTTCCTAAGCACAAGAAGGCTGTGATGTGCCTTCCTGAGAAAATATGTGTTCAGACAAGCTTCATTCAGGCATGAAGTAAAGTGCCATGAGTCCAACGTTAATGAATCAACAATATATATTAAATAGGCAGATGGGCTGTCTTCAAACAGAAATGCATAAACCAAGGTAATGTATCAATTTGTTGACTAAATGTTGTGACCAGAGGCTTGCAGGAACTTAACCCTCTATTTCCTCTAAGAGCAGTGGTTCAGGAGTCACTAATTTGGTGTTCAAAGTGACTTTATAAAACATAACTACCACAAATGATGAGAATCAACTGTTCAAGCCACTCTAAAAGCACAAAACAAGGATCTCCCCTGCTACAGCAAATCTACCAGTCCTCTGTCATATGCCCACAGCCCTCGCCTCTACCTGCAGAAGTCTGCTCAGGGCAATGATGGCAGCCCTGAGGTTTTGACTGCAGGAAGTCCAAGTGCATCAACCAATGATGTCTGGGGAAGTATGACAGATGTCACCCAGTTTCCTAGAGCCTCAGTTGGGATAACTATCAGGCTTGTCCTACACTGCTTCCCAGAGGTCACTGGAGGAATTAGACTCCAGTTGCCTGCAGGTAACTGATTTGATAATATAATCTTCCCTTAGTGGATTTGTTCCTTCTTGTCTCACTGACCTGGCACCATTGCCCAGATAAACTGTTCACACTCAAATCCTTGTCACAAAGCCTACTATGTGGGAACCCAAACCAAGACACACACTGACCCCAAAGCTTATCATAATATCTCAAGCAAGGTGATATAAACAGAGCCAAGTCACCATCTCTCCAATGACACCCCACACCAAGCAAGGTCTTACGTGACTTAGAAACACACGATACGCACAACACAAGCCAGCTTCTTTCACAGGGCTCCAGACCCCAAGCTAGGGACTGATCAGCAAACCAATCCCTTCCTGACCCCCAGGAGCTGCTGGAGAACCTAGAACGAGAGAGTTTCTGATAGTGCCTGGCTCCTGATAGGCACCCAAGATGGGTGGTTCTGTGAGTGAACATACAGTCAACTTTTAAAATCATCATGTAAGTAATGCAAAACTATTGTGGGGTTTTGAACAATGAAATGACAATACAAACTGTGCTTCATAGAAATCAATCCGACAGTGGCTTAGAGGATGGTAGAAAGGGAGAGAAAACCCGTTTTCCAGTTAAATGGCAGAATGAAGTATATATTTAGCTATTTGAATCTAAGATATTTATATGAGATCAAATTCTAAATGGAGAGGAGAGAAGAGAGAGAAATGAGAGAGAAAGAAGCACAAGAGGAGAGAGGAGAAAGAGAAAGACAGCCCAAGTCCTGTAATGAGCCAAGACAGACATCCACTCCCACCAACTGCGTAACCCTTAGACCTGAGCCATGTAAAGGAACCTACGGAATAAAGGTCCATGCAAGCAGGGCAGCGGGTTCAGGCTGCGCTGGTGTTGACAGCAGACACAGCACCCAGCAGCATCCTGTGTAAGGGCAAAACCACGGGCAGGAAGCAGCCTCTGTCTTTATGCCTTCCCAAGATATTTATACAGTCCACTGTGGCCAGCAAACATAACTGGTGTAACTTGGATGAAATTTTAATTATACAGGATTTTAATGATTTAAGTTGCTGTGGGTAGAGAGGGGAAGCCAGGCAGGAGGGAGCAAAGGTTGACCCAAGTACAGCTATCCGTTTCCCCTCAGCCCTGCAGAGAAACCAGCTTTCTGGACGAAGGTCTCAGGGTTCACTGCTAAGGTAAGAGAGAGCCACATAATTCTAGCTGCTGGCTCAGGCCACTGGCTTTGTGAATACTTAGTCTCACCACAATATGTCAACAAGCAGACAGATCTGGAGTTGATAATCTTGCTATAAAAAGGATGGTGGGGATACTTGCCATCTGCACACTCCCCATTCTTTAGCCACCATTTTCCGCCAGACTTTTCCTCCTTCTCTCCATTTCTGCCTTATTTTACTGGAACAAAGAACTCTGTTCTGCCCAGAATATGCTCATCCTTATCTTGCCAATGGTGAGAAGAAGGTTGGCTAAATGGGCCTCAGTGGAGCTATAGAAGAGGCCTGATGAGACTTTCACCCGGCACTCAGATTGCTGACACAGAACTGGCCTGGGCTGAATGAGGTTAGCATTTGCCCCAGTGATATGTACCAGGAAGTTCAAAGGTAATTATTGCGTAACCCTATTCAGCAGACTTATAATGTCAGACGTCTCAGGGACTTTGCGAGATGGCCGAGTTAGCCACACAGTAATAAAGTATGTGTTTTTTCAACTCCAAGGATCATTGAATCACTTACAAAGAGCTAACAACTGTGCTAGATCCCTCAAGAGCTGCAACAATGAATATGACCAATGTGTGATCCTGAAGTGCTCAGTACTTTGGTACTTTGGCAGGAAGCAAAATGTATGCTCAAATTACAATAAAACACATAGCAAAGATGGGGTAAGACGGGTCTCAGCTGGGAGTTCAGGAAAGCTTCACAGACAGCGTTTGAACTTGACATTGGAGGCTGGATGGAATTTCCATGTGGAAGACAAAGGATTCCAGGTGAGTCGAACAAAGGTAGGTATGAACATAGGTAAGACTATATAAAGGTCAGGGGTGGAGGCACTCAGGGACAAGAAGTATTTCATTTTGACTAAGATCTCTGTATGTTAAAGGAGTTAAGCCAAAGGAGTTAGATTAGGGAGTGAAATTTTTTAAAGGCAGTGGGGAGGCAGTGAATGTCAGAGCACCTGGTGTCAGCTCACTTCAAAAATCAGAGCCCCACACCTACAGAAGTATGACTCTTTCCCAAGTTCCCATAGCAAGTAGGAGCTGGCTCTGGGTCCCTAGCGCAAGGCCCCTTGCTGTGTGCGGCTACTGCACAACCAGAGCTGAGCCTTAGGACAATAATCTGGCAGCAGAACAAACAATAGACGACAGAGACGAAAGACGGTGGGCTCAGAAGCTGCAAAGAGGCCTCCACAGGGTCCAGGGAATAAGCACCGGGCCCCCGGACTGAGTTGTTGGCAGAAGGAGCGCCAAGGAAGGTCCGTGTCCAAGACAAGTTGCAGAGGGAGAATTTACAGGTCACGAGGACCGCTGGACGTGTGGGCTGTGGCAGGAGGCAGCGGAAGAGTTGATTCCAAGGTTTCAAGCCCAAGTGACTAGGAGTCCCTTTTATGGAAAAAGGAACTCGCCCACTCTTTCCTTAGGCCCTGGCAGTGTACCTACTTATCCGCCCGCTGTTGCCAACAGCAGTCCCTGGGAGTTTCCTGGCCCCCAAGTCAAGGCTTCTGGAGAGAGTGCTTGCTCCCCAATTTGTGGCGTCAGTGCTGCCATCCACCCCTCCTTTCATCAGTCTCACCCTTCTTGGATTTCTTACCTCCGTCGGCCTTTATTAGTTACTGTTGTTCAAGTTTTCCTCAGCCCACGAAATGTAATTGTTTTCTAAATTTGTAGTCTTCTCTCTTTTCATAGTAATAATATATGACAGAAACCAATTCAAACTAGTTCAAGTGAAAAAGGAAGTTTATTAGTTCCTGAACTTGAGAAGCTTGGAGGTATATATGGCTTTAGACACAAGTGGACCCAGGCATCTAAGCTGCATTTTCCTTCCCCCTGCACCCCTCCAACATATGATTAGTAACGATCATTTCTCACACTTACATAGTCTGCTTTCCTTTCTGTTGGCTTTGCCCCCATGCAGACCCTACTGATAAGATGGCCCCAGCAGCTCTAGGGCCCCCCAGCTCGGCTGCTCCAGTGGAAGGAAAAGCTCCAGCAGTTCCAGCGGAAGGGCTGGGATTTAATTTTATAGGACCCAATTTGGCCAGGCATCATTCCTAGGCTAGTCACTGTGACCACAGAGACGGAATGTGCAGATCGGCCAGGCCTGGGTAGCATCTGGCCAGTGTTAGCCTCCTTGACTCAAGAGAACTAAGTGTTGGGAAGGGGGCTCCCCAGAAGGGAACTGCAAAGGAAATCACATAGTTGTTACCAGAGAAGAGTTGTGGATGCTGGCTGGGGAGCAGAAACCTGTTTTTGTTGTTGCTTACATCTATTCACATCCTATGTATGTAGGTCTGTGTTTTCTTGGGATTTCTAGATCCCCTCCTGGGTCCTTTATCTTAAACATCTCAGTTCTACTTCAAATTCCATGCATTCAAAAGTGAATGTGTCTCCTACTCTATTTCCTATTTCTCTACACAGTGCTACCATGTATTTGGTCATCTGCAGTTCTGATTTTGGAGTTATTTTTTATTCCTCCCTCTTTTACACTGGACTGAATCTCCCTTCCCCAAAAATGCAAGTACTTCCACATACAAACACACACACAAGCACACACACACACACACACACACACACACACACACACATCCAAGTCCTCCAAGTCCTCTTCTGCAGCATCCCTCAGCCTACACAGTAGATCGTAAAAATGGCCAGTCTCTCCCTCTTTTCTATCCACACCCTCTGCAATGTGTCATGTCCTGCCACCAACAGGGAGCATTTATGTCCCTGCTCAGTGAAACCAGGCTGGACCTGTAGCTTTCTTCAGCCAGGCTGGCTTGTCCTTTGTGGCTGCGCTTGTGACTTGCTCCTCTTTCCTCACCATGAGACCCTCCTCAAGTGCCTATGGATCAAAGACAGACCATCCCGCTGAGCTCACCCTAGACCACCAAGGCACCAAACTACCTACAGCTGATCATAGAGGCTTGGGAGAGCAGAGCCAAAAGCAGAAAGACCACCAGGCTGGCCACAGCCCAACTTGATGGCCCAGAGAATCACAAGTGAAATAAATGATTGTTATTTTTAAAGCACTAAACTTTGGGTTTCTGTGTTACACAGTAAACGCTAACCGGTACACCTTCCTTCCTACTTACATTGACCTAAATCATGCTTTCCATTTCCATCTGACCCGGTTGATGAGTTGTTTGAGCTGGTTTTGGAACAATTAGTAATAATCATTTCTAACACATAATGTTTATTCTGAGCCAGACAATATTCTTAACACCTATCTATAGTAACTCATTAAAAGTTTCACAACAGTAAACTCTATCACTACATTGGATACAGGGACACCATAGTGCATGTGACAGAGAATCACCAGGAAAGATTATTCACTCAGGAGCCAAACATTCAGGGATATTTGGTCACCCAGGATGCATCCTGGATTTCTATGATTAGGTTTACCCAATATATTCCATCTCTGTGCAGCATGAAATCTCCAGTCCAAGAATTCAAGTTTCTTTTTAAACAGCCATACTAAACCATCCATCACTCTTAAAAATACATGAGAATTGCATAGAAATCAGTGGGAATTGACAATGCATCTCTGAGGACCAAACTGATCTTTATCAATATAAAAACCTACTCTATAAAATATTATAGCACTGAAAGAAAGATTGCATGACTGTATCCTCTTGCAATGCTTACCAAAACTACTGTCTTTAATCTACTCAGTATTTAAGGATAACAATACTAAATAATAAAATTGCCCCAGCCTCCCATCTCCCATTGTCCAAAAATAGTCCATATCTAAAATGAATCCTATGACAAGTGTACCACAGAAAGTTCTCCATTGGAAGGAAACTGCCAGAATAGTGGCAAAGGGGGTGGAGGAGGAGGGAAAAAGATTTTATAAAAATACAGCATTTTTTAATTAAATTAAGGATTATAGTTGAGGACTAGTTGAGAATCTTACACAATTAAAGACAAGGCCTTTTTTTTAGTTAGTCCAATATTTTCTAGTAGCAATTTTGTTTGTTGTTTTTATTCCATTTGTTCCAAGTATAGATAAGAAGGAAGGGCTCTTTCTCTCTGTTCACAGGTGGGGTTGAAAGTAAAAATTTTAGTCACTCATGAAAATGAGCCCAGTTAAGAATTTTATTTTTGTTGAAAAACATACTATAAGATAGGTAGAAGTCAACCTCAACAAGAT